TCTGTCATACCTAAATTGTTTCAAGATCTTTTCTGTGTAATCAGGTTGACTCACAAAAATTCCTTCAGACGACACTTCGATCTTCATACCTAAGTATGTCATACATGATTGTAAAGTTCTTTTATAAGTAATTTCAAACTTGTCATTCAGTAACTTCAGAATCTTGAAGATATCCTCCTCGTTTTGGGCAGCAATGAACCCGTCGTCTATGACCAATACTATTATCACACTTCTGTCGTTGTTGTAATAAACGTTTTTTCTTACCATAGGATTTGTTGTAACAAATCCTATGGTAAGAAAAAAGTCAGAGATTTCATCATTCCAATCTTTGGCGGCTTGCTTTAAACCGTACAGACTCTTTTCAAGCTTGCAAACCTTTTCTGTCCCATCAGAGAATCCTTCTGGCTGGTTCATATATATTTCTTCTTTGAGATTGGCGTGCAGGTAAGCTGTCTTAACATCAAAAACTGTTACTTTCATTTTACTGGATGCTGCATGACTGAGCACGAGTCTGATGGATGCGTGTCTACCTACAGGACTAAAGGTATCTGAATAATCTATGCCCTGCCTTTGCTCGAATCCCCTTACAACAAGTCTAGCTTTCATCCTGCCGTCCTGTTTACGACGTAATACCCATCGGCATGTCAGAGGTCTCGCATATTTTGGAGGTTCCACCAGGCTCCAAATCTTCAATTTGATCAGGCTGTCGTACTCGTGCCGCATAGCCTTATACCATCCTTTGTCCTTCAAAGCATCTTTAACTGAAATATCCTCGGTTTCTCCTATCATGGCATGGTTGTGAATAAGTCCCTTCTCATAATCGTTGAATCTGGTTGGTGCTTTTAATTTTCGGCGATTTCGTAAACTTTGTTGAATTTCCTCTGGCGTTTCTGGTCCTCCATCAGTTTCTTCTGGAGTGATGTGTCATGAATGATTCTGTGAACATTTATGATCTGAATCCTCTACGGTTTCATTTTCAGTTTCGGACTCTTCTATCTTCTCTTCTGTTCCCTTTTCTTTCATGTAGGTCTCGACTTCGGCAGTGCTTCCTTTAGTTTCAGACTTTTCATTGAAAATCACATTGTCAGTGCAGACGACCTCCTTCTCATCTGGCAAGTAGACTCTATAACAAGGTGAATCGAGATCATATCTGACGAAAATTCCTTTCATAGACTTTCTCTCCATCTTTCTCCTTTTATGATCTTCAATCAATATGTAACACTCGCAGCCGAAACTTTTCAATTTCTAGATGTTTACCATACGTCCAAACCAAAGTTCGGCAGGACTTTTATCATCTATAGAGCTCTTTCCTGTTTGATTAATGGTGAACACAGCGTAGTTAATAGCTTCAGCCCAAAGATTTTTGCTTAAGTTCCTGGCATGTAAAACAGATCGAGCTGACTCCACTATGGTGCGCATCTCCCTCTCTATTCGTCCATTTTGCTGCGGTGTATACGTGTTTGTCCTAGTATGTAAAACTCCAAGCTCCTCCAATAACTCCCTAGTAGTCGAATTTTTTATTTCTGTCCCGTTGTCAGACCTTAGGCTCTTCACTTTTCTTCCAAATTGGTTTTCAACTAGTTTCATGTATTTACCCAATGCTGCAGGGGCTTCATCCTTGGTTCGTAAAAAATAAACAGTCCTAAAATGAGAAAAATCGTCCTTGAATAGGAGAAAATATCTTGCTTTTCCCAGAGATAAGGTGTCTATTTCACCTAAGTCAACATGTATAAGATCCAATACTTCCTTCGCTACCTTGTTATTTCTTGGGTGAGAGATATGATGTTGTTTGCCGTAGACACAGCCAATACAAATGTTGTTGTCCCAGTCATCAATATATCTTATATTGTTTCTGTCCAAAATACTCTTGCAGTACTTCACATTCTGATGTGCCAGCCTTTCGTGCCAGACTTTGATTGAGTTGGCTATCATGCACATT